GGCACTCCTTCCAGCCTCTGCTGACTTCAAAGGTCAATGGCAAGCCCCACAGATGGGCTACAGCCCACACTGTCTTTTGTTCAGTGTGCAACAAATGCCAGTTTAACCATTGGGCTACATCAAAGGCAGGCTTTCCTTCTAGCCAATGCACCTGGGTCAATATATCTGCTTCATTATTCCCTGGGGATGCCAAAGACAAATGGCCAGTCACATGCTATATGGTAACTGTCTTAGTCTGACCAGAGGCCCATAGGTCTTGCCACAACTCTTGACCACAAAGGAGCCAGTGACCAACCATCCAGTTGGTATGATACCATGTTAGTGGCCACAGGGTCAAGCCCCGATAGACAGCCCAGCTGTCAGTGCAGACAACTATAAGGGAGGGCTCCTGGGTATCACAAGCCATACTGCCTACCACTCAGCCCATTGGATGCTCTTCCCCTCTCCATCCTCCATCCATATTGTCTCAGTCTTAGGATGGAAAGCCACAGCCCTCCACTTTGGGGGCTGCCCACAACTAGAGCCGTCTGTATACCAAGCATCTCCAGGTATAGGGGCTTTTCCCTCTTGATAAGGACTCTTGGCTACCAATGGCTCAAAAACAAGTTCTTCCTGCTTTCCACTGGTATATGTCACTGGTCCAAATAAGCATGGGAATTCTCCACTTAAGGGACTAGTAGAAAGGGCACTGCACTTCTGTAAATATGCACCCCATTTGGCCAGTGCAGGTGCCTGTGCCAAGCCAACCCATGGCCTTGGGTCCAGTCTTGTACCCACCCTGTAATGTGATAGGTGATTATTACCTTGGTTGGAGCTGTTCCAGAATCGGCTCCACAGCCAGCAAGGCATGGTACACAGCAGCCACTTGCTTCTCTATCAAGGTGTACAGGACCTCTGCTCCTTTCCATAGTTGTGATGAGAATCCAATAGGTTGGTGTCTCTGTTCAAGCCACTGCCAAAGGCCCCATCCGTAACTATCTTCCATTACATGAATATCTAGCTCACAGAGCCTTGATGAGTCCATTACATTCAAGGCCTGCATGGCCTTGACTGCCTGCTTAGCAGCAGTAAAAGCAGCTGCACATGTTTCATCCCAGTCGCCCCTGATGCCCTTTCATACCAACCAGTATAAGGGCTTTATAAGGGCCTCAGAATTTGGGCCAACCATGGGATAAACACTCTCCAGTAGCCAAAAGACCCAAAAACTCTTGCAATACTGTCACAGTAGTAGGGGTAGGGAAAGCCCAGACCTTGTCTATTACTGCTTCTGGGCTAGCTTTGGTTTTACCTAACCAGAAAACCACAAAGACTTTTAAAAGATAAACCAGATGCCTAAACCTTGGTGCTGTTCACAGCCCTTCTGTAGATGTTGCAGCAGTCTAGGAACTGCCCCTTCTAAGTCTGAAAGAGAATCAGATGTGACCAGAATATCATCAATGTAGTGATACAGCTGCACCATTTAAGGTTCTTCCATGTAGCAAAGTGCTGGGCTACAAGTCCATGAGAAATGGTGGGACTGTGAAGGTCTCCCTGTGGAAGGACAGTGAATGTCCACTGCTGGCCTTCCTATGTGAAGGCAAACTGTTCCTGACTTTCCTGTGCTATGTCAATATAGAAGAAAGCATTAGCAAGGTCCACAACAAAATGATATGTCTCTAGTTCATGACTGAGGGTGGCCTTAAGGGCTGCTATAGAAGGGACAGCAGCAGGCAAAGGAACATTGACTTTATTCTATTCCTTGTAGCCCACAGTCATTCACCAGGAGCTGTATGGCTTTTTCACTGGCCATGCTGTAGAATTCAAAGGATTATGAGTGGGCTTTATGATGCCCACCTTCTCCAATTCCTGTAGTTTCTCCAATTTCCTTTTCCATCCCAGGCAATTCATACTACTTAGTATTTGTCACTTGCCAATGTACAGGCAGAGCTACACATGGGTGCTTAGCATGTCTCTTCAGAACTGCCTTTACCACATATACCCTCAGTCTAAACTAACCTGCAGTGGCCTGTAACCACAGGCTCTGCAGGATATCTACCCCCAAAATATACTCTGGGATGGGAGAAATGTACACAGTATACTCCTTTGGGGGTGAATGCCCAATTCCCAGTGGGATTTAGGCTTTTTTCACTCTAATTGCCTTACCTCCATAGCCATCTATCAGAGCAGGGGTCCCAGGAAAATGCTCAGGGTTGCTATAAATCAGAGAACATTCAGCTCCTGTGTCCACCAGTGCCAGGGCATGCTATACATTCACAGGGAAACCAATGAATTTCTAATTATACATGTGGCCTCCAGTCCCTAACACATCCCCCAAGGTAGGGACCTTGACCCCTCCCTCATTCAAACCGCGATGCCCAATCGTCATCCTGTGGGGATGAGAGCCCAGACATAGCCTGAGTACTCTCCCCCAGGAAGTCTTTCAGGGACACAGGCTGTACATGGGACTTTGCCTCCAGCTTCCATGTCCTGGACCTCAACAGATGGAACTACTGCTCTGGCTTTAATTGGTGCCATCGTTCTAACAAGATCTTATTGGGTTGTCCATTAAGTTTTTCTTTCACTACCCAGCCTTTATGAAGTTAACCCACACCTGGGTCTTTAAGACCTTCACAGGGCTCTTTGCACCTCTCCTTTCAGTCACAGCCTTTACTTACTTCCATGCTCATTGTTTCAACTTCCCCCAGATCTGCTCAACTACGAGTAGCCTCACTTATGGTTATGGGTTGCCTTATGTGAGGGACAAGAATCATCACTTGGAACCCAAAGAGAGATGGGAAACTGTATGCAGTACCAGATTTCTCATTCCTATGGTGAACAACTCATCATCAGGCCCCTGGGGGTCCATATTATAGATTATATTTTTCATACCTAGTTCCCATAACACCTGCTGGAGCTCTGCATATGTTTTCCAGCTAGTGGGTAAGTACAGTAAGTCACCCTGATTAGGTTAAACTACCCTAATTGCTGCTGTCAGCCAATTCAGAAGTGCCTGATTCCCTGAGGTGTGACAGGCACTCTGCAACTGCTACCAGAGGGAAGGGTGAGTCATCAGGGAAGCCAGTCTACCCATTTCAGAACCTCACATAACATTTTCCACCCCATATCCCAGTGATACAAAAGCCATGTAGGCAGAGGTTCTGACGGCTTCTGCCAATACCAGACACTCATGTCCACTAGCTCTTCCTGGGTATAAGGGTGGAGCATGGAATGCTCTACAGCCTTGGGAGGGAGCAGCTCCTCCCCGTGAGGAGCCCGCAGTTATTGCATTTTTATTTTCTTAATTACAACTGGGCAGGTCTTTAATATAGGACAGGCTGGTGCCCCAGGTGGTGGTCTTGACAACAGATCGGCCCTCAGCCCCACACCCGCTCCTCTACCATCTCCAGGGCTGAAGGCACCGCTCCTTCCTCCCATGGCTCTCTCTCACCTCAATAATCCTCTCTCTGTCCTCAATAACAATTTCCACTATCTCGAGGAAAAGACATCCCACAGTTCCAGCTGCTTGCTATATAGCTACTCAGGGCCTCTAAGCAGTCTTCTATATCACAGAGGGCTAATTCCACAGCTTCCAGTGTATCCACCCTTCCCCAATTCTGGGGAAGGCCCCAGCCCTCTAGGAGGTGCTGTATGCAAGATCAATTCCCCACTAGGGGCTCCCCAATTGGAAGCCCCACAGATAGGGGGCTCCCAGGTGAAGCTGCACCCTCTACCACTGCAGCCACTGGGGCCTATCCACCATCCACGCAGTGGGGGTGGGGTTGGGACACCTCCCCACCATCTCAGGGGCAGCCTGCCCAAGGGTTGCACACATGTAGACAGATTTTGGGTTCAGAGGTCCTGCCGACTACTGCCAGATGTAACTCTGGGGGGAAAATCCCAGGGCAAAATACCTTTGAAACCGACATCAGTCAAAGGGAGAAATAAAGTGGGAGAAACCTGTTTATTGCTTACAAGCAGTCATCCACTTCTGTTCTCCTGTGTCTCTTGTGTCACGGCTGCAGAAGAGGTGGCTGCAGAGGAAGGGGCTCCACCCAACCTCTCTGGTCCAGATTATGCCCTTGCTCACCCTTGTAATTACCTATTGATATGGAGATGACTGCTTCTCTCCACCCCTTAGAAACACCTATTGATATGGAGATGCACTAAGGCCAGGTGAGAGAATTTGGAAAGACTGCAGTTTTACCCACAATAACCTAGCAATTATACTTTTGGGTGTTTATCCTAAAGAAATGAAAACTTGTGTTCACACAAAAATCTACATGTGAATTTACATAGCAGTTTTATTTGTAATATCTCAAAACTGGAAACAATCCAGCTATCCTTAACCAGGTGAATGATCAAACCAGTTGGCACATCTCTACCATAGAATACTACTCAGCAATGAAAAGGAACAGTCAATGCACTCTTCAACCTGGACGAAGCTCCAGAAAATTATTCTGAGTAAAAAAAGTAAATCCCAAAGGCTACATACTATGATTCCATTTATGTGGAATGACAAAATTACAGAAATGGACCATAAATGAGTGGTTGTCAGGGATATGGAGGTGATGGGACCAGAGGGATGTGTGTGGTGACTATAGAAATATGAGGAATACTTTTGGGGATGAAGATATACTGTGTCTTCAGTGTATCAATGCCAATGTCCTGGTTGGCCTAATAGTACTATGGGTTTGCAGGACATTACCATTTCAGGAAACTGGGTAAGGGCACAGAAAATCTTTCTGAATTATTTCTTGAAACTACATGTGGATCTACACTTGTCTTACAATACAAAGTTTAATTTAAAAATAGAGTGGCCCAGGTGGGCCCAACGAGAAGGTGGCATTGAAAGAGGTGGAATAGACAGACATGCTTTTATCTGAGTAGACAGAGTCCCTAGCAGAGGACTCTGCAGAAGAGCATGTGGCATGCTCAAGAGGCACCAGGGAACAGTGTGGGTGAAGAGGAATGCAAACCATGCTTATCAGTTTTCCAGAGCTACTGTAACAAAATACCACAAATTGGGTGGCTTAAAACAATAGAAATTTATTTTCTCACAGTTCTGGAGGGTAGAAGTATGGAATCAGCAGGGGCATATTCTCTTCAGTCTCTAGAGGTGGACCTTTCCTTGCTACTCCTGGGTTCTGATGGCCCCTTGGCTTATAGCAATATCACTCCAATCCTGCTTCCATCTTCACACCCTCTGTATCTGTGTGTCCCTGTGTCTTCACATGGTGTTCTTCCTGTGTGTCTGTCTTCACATTGTCTTCCCTCTTCTTATAAGGACAGGAGTAATATTGGATCAGGGCCCACCCTAATGACCTCATCCTAACTAATTACATCTGCAAAGGCCCTATTTCCAAATAAGGGACTTGAGGTTAAGACTTTAACATATCTTTTTGGGGACACATTCAGCCCACAATGCAATGCTGTGCCAGGAAAGGAAGACTGGTTATAAAGGACTGTGCAGCTATGGGATCAAGCCACAGATCTGGCACCTGAAAAGCTATTCAGAGTTCACATCCACATCCTGGATCTGCTGACTCTGAATCACTCCCACTAGCATCTTTAAAAACATGCTTTACTCTCAGTGCTTCTGTTATTGATTTCATGTAAAAGATATTTTTATGCTCCTTAGGCTAGGGTACTTTTGTTAGTGGTACAGTCACTTGTGGTCATGCAGGTCTGAATGGCTGGTCTTCCTCTTTCCCACAATCCCATGGCCATTATTGTGTCTGGTTGGGAAGTAAGTAGAGTAGGTAAGGACAGGCCAGAACATGGAAGATCCAGGAGGCCAGGAAGACCTGGATTGTCTTGGGTAGTCAGTAGGGAGCCATTCATTCCTGAGCAGGGGAATGATGTAGGAAATGCAGTTTCCCAGGCCTGGGCAGAGTGGGATGAAGGGGACAAATCGGGGGGCATCTGGAATTGAAGTGGAAGTGAAATGGTCAAGAACTGGGAATCATCAATATGAGAGGACAGATTATTTGTTGTTCTCAGCCTTGGAGAAACAAAGATGAACCTTAGAGGGTTTTTTCAGGAGAGAGTGAGAATTAATAAAAGATTGTTTGGTCAGTGGTTAAAATAAGAGCTTGCAGGCAAAACACGGAAGGGGAGTTTCCACTAGAAGGGGAGGGTCAGTGGCTTCAAACTTCACCAGAGACAAGTCTAGTTGTTCTAGTAGGAAGGCCTTCCCATATCTCCCTTCATCATCCTCAGGGATGGCTCCATACCCACTTCCAGGGTCCTGGGATATTTCAGTCTCCCTGGTGACCACATGGCTTCTGAAACTGGGGCGGGGTGTCCTGCAAGTCCTGTTACCCCTCTTCCCCGTCTTTCATCAGAGCCAAGGGCAAGAGAAATGGGCTAAAAAGGAGAAGTGAGCTGGCAAAGACCCAGGGGAGGTGGTCTGGCTGAGGGCCTGAAATGACCACAGTCCCAGTAAATGGGCAGACATCGAGATTCTGCTGGTGCCATAGACATTACAGCTGAATCTATTTAAAAGAGAATGGCAAATATATAAATCACGATTTCCCAACTCCCTCATTACACCCCCCCCCCACCACCAAGAACACCAGGGAAATGTTTATATTACACCTCAACAGCAGCCAAGGTCAGGAAAAAATTTGGAATTCTTTAATTTAAACTCCAGTTCATTCACATGCTTGTTGCTAAATCTTAAAATTATTTCCTGCTAAAAACATATGCAACTCTTGATATTCAGATAAATGGATTTTTCAAATCAGACTTGAAATCTTAGGAATTAATTCAAAACGTCTTTTGAAAAGCTTTTATGTTTCTGATCACAAAATGTCAAAGTCACATTATTGTTAACTGAAGTTCTTCCACACTTCATCTTAGCCAAAAGGCAGAGAAGCAATTCAGTTTTCCTAAATTTAGCTTTACTTATTAATACTCATTTATAGCCAAAATGATAAGATGTCATGCTTAAAAATAATAAAATGCATTTCTTTGGCATATTAAATGTAGGTGGAGCTTCCAGCTATGAAGGAGTAAAGAAATCAACAAATCCTTCCCACTAAAAATAACTATAAACTGGACATAATTGTAAAAAGCAATGGTTTCAGGATTCTGGAAATTGACCATGGGTAAACAACAAATTGAGAAGCATATCATCATTAAAAACTGTTGAGATTCAGGTAAAAAGAGTGGGGATATGTGACATTCTTGCCCTAGATTGCCTCCACCCTTTATCCTAGGCTGATCAGCCTAGCTATTCTACCAGTATAGGATTGGCCTTCACTTGATTTGGAGTGAGGAGTAGAAACCACAGCCAGCAGCAAATGTGAAAAGCCTATAGATCTCCTGGCCTAAGGTTGCAATCCTGATTGGATGAGCAGTATAAGACTAGCCATAAATTAAGTAAGGAGATCCTGGAAATGAGATAGCCCCTAAGATCTTAGTAAGCATTCCACATAACCCTAGATGTCTGGGAGCCTGTGTGTGTGCATTGTAGAGACCTGGGAGGGTCTGGCATTAAAGTAATGGCTGGGGCAGAGTTGAAATAGCCAAATTTGAATAAATTCCCCCAGTTCAAACACAGATCCACCAGAGAGAATAGTGGTTAGGCCCAACCTCTGACCAATCATTGAGTGACAATTAAGTTATGCAAACACTGAGGCAACCCAAAAAAAGTCAGGCCCCCAAAGAAAAAATACCAATAAATATATTTTTAAAAATCTGAGCAGTCATCAGCAGATGCACATTGTTGGATGACAGAATCTGCAGATCAAATCTACACAAGTTAAAAACAAACAAAAAGTAGTAACAACTAAGACTCTCAAATGATTTTTAAAAATCCAGAATCTAGATTTGTTATGCTATATTATCTAAAACATCCAATTTTCAACAAAAATTTATGAGTCATGAAAAATAAGAAGAATGTGTGACCCACACTTTGGGGGAAAAAGACCATGAAAACTGTCTTTAAGTGGCCCAAATACTGCATTTAATAAAGACTTCAAAGTTGTTATTTTAAGAATGTTAAAAAATACTACAGGAAACCATGTTTAAAGAATTTGAAAAAAAATATTATTAAAATGACTCAATAAGTAGAAATATCAACAAAAAATGAATTTTTTAAAAAGGACCAAATGGAAATTCTGCAGTTGAAAAATGCAATAACAAAATGAAAACTTTATTTTATGGGTTCAGCAGTACATTTGAGAAATCAGAAGGAATCAATGAATTTGAAGATGGATCAGTAGAATGAAATCCAATCTGAATAACAAAAAAAAAGACTGAAGAAAAATGAATAAGTTCTCACAGACCTGTGGAACAACATCAAGCATACCAACTGCATAATGGAAATTCCAGAATAAGAAAGGAGACAAAAAGGGCAGGAAAAATGTCTGAAGAAATAATGACTGAAAACTTCCCAAATTTCATAAAAACATTAATTTATAGTTCCAATCTCTATGAAACCCAAGTAGTAAAAACAGAGATCTTCACTTCACTTAGTCATATCAAACTCTTGAAAGCAGAAAACAAAGAGGAAATGTTGAAAGCAGCAAGAAAAAAATTAATCACATACAGGAGAACAACAATACAAATAATTGCTAAATCTCACCAGAAACAATGGAGTCCAGCAAGCAGCAGAATGGCATATTGCAAGTGCTGAAAAAGAAAACAAATGTCAGCCAAGAATTCTACATTCAGCAAAACTATCCTTCAAAAGTGAAAGAGAGATAAAAATAGTCTCAAATAAACAAAGGCTAATCTGTGATGCTAACAGACATGTATTATAAAAATAGTAAAGGAAATCCTTCAGGATGAAAGAATCCTTTGATTGATCTGATTGATAACTGGAATCCTCAAGAATTCCTAAGAAATAAAGATTAGAAATGGTAAAGAAGTGAGTAATTATAAAAGACAATGGATATACATTTTTCTCTTCTATTATTTCTTTAAATGGCATATATATATAAGGCAAATGTGTTTTGGGGTTTGCAACATATATGGACATAGTAAAATACATGACACAGCACAAAAGTGAGGGTGGAGTAGGGAAAAATGAAGCTGTATTGGAACAAAGTTGCTACATTTTACTGGATTAAGTTAGCATTAACCTGAGGTAGGTAGTGATATGTTAAAATGCATATTGTGATTCCTAGAGCAAGCACTAAGATAATAATTCAAAAATATAATTTAAAAAATCTACTAAGGAATAAAATACTAAACAATATTGTTTCACACAAAAGAATGGAGTAAAACAGGGACAGAGGAAAAACAAGACATGAGGCATATAGAAAACAAAGCAAAATGACACATATATATCCAACCATATTAATAATTACACTTAATGTAAATAGAAGAAACATTCCAGTCAAAATTCAGAAATTTTCAGACTGGATAAAAAAGCAAATCCATTGTACATTGTTTATAAGACACATCATAGGTTGAAAGCAAAAGGATATCTGTTCTCCTAATTCTTATTCAGTATAATACTGTAGGTACTAGGTAGTACAATAAAACAAGATGATCAACCAAATGTATTATACACAAATTGGGAAAGAAAAAGTAAATCTCTTTATTCAGAGAGAGTATAATAAATTATGTAGAAAATCTCAGGATAAATATCAATAGACAAAATACCAAATTTCCAAAATGCAATGAAATTAAGAAAATATATTCACAATAGCATCCAAAACAATAAAATACTTAGGAGTGACTTGCAGTAAAAGGTACAAAAAATTACAAGAGAAGCTTAAAGCTGTAAAGAAATGGAAATACATTCTATCTTTAGGGACTGAAAGAAACAACATTAAGATGGCAATTCCCCCCAAACTGACCAATAGAATCCCTATCAAAATCCTGGCATAATTTCTTATAGAAATTGACAAGCCAATCCTAGAATGTCTATGAAAATGTAAAAGACTCAGAGTAGCCAAATCAGTTTTTTAGAAGAGGAGCAAAGTTGGAGAACTCATACTACCTGATCTCAAAACTTACTACAAAGCCACAGTGATCAGTGTGGTATTGGCATAAGGACAGACATACAGATCAATGGAACAGAAATGAGGGTTCAGAAATAAGCCCTTATGTTATGATCAATTGATTTTCAACATCATTGTCATGATAGTCCAGTTGAGAAAGAATGGTCTTGAACCAATGAATTCAGACCCGTACCTCACTATACATACAAAAATTAACCCAAAATGAATTACAGGCTTAAAAGTAAAAGCAAAATCTTTGTGACCTTGGGTTAGGTAAACAGTTCTTATATATTATACAAAAAGAAGTAATTAACAAATTGGACTTCATCAAAATTAAAAACGTTTGCTTTTCAAAAGATACCATTAAGAAAATGAAAAAACAAGCCATGGTCTATGCGAAAGTATTCACAAATCTATGTCTGATGAAGGATTTGTATCTAGAATATATAAAGAACTCTTACAATTTGATAAGTCAAAACAATAAATAGACTAAAGATTTTTCTTATTTTGGTATCATTAATATAAAACCACAAGGGCAACATTGTGGTTACTAGGTGTCCCCCATTATCAAGTCCCCACCACATACCCCATTACAGTCACTCACTGTCCTTCAGTGTAGTAAGATGCTATAGAGTCACTACTTGTCTTCTCTGTGCTATACTGCCTTCCCCGTGCAAATGGGCAAAAGATTTTATTTTATTTATTTTAATTTTTTATTGAGGTATTATTGATATACACTCTTATGAAGGTTTCACATGAAAAAACAATGTGTTTACTACATTTACCCATATTATCAAGTCCCCACTCATACCCCAATGCAGTCACTGTCCATCAGTGCAGCAAGATGCCACAGATCCACTATGTGCCTTCTCTGTGCTACACTGTTTTCCACGTGATCCCCATACCATGCATACTAAACATAATACCCCTCAATCCCCTTCTCCCTCCCTCCCCACCCGCCCTCCCACACCCCACCCCTTTGGTAACCACTGGTTCCTTCTTGGAGTCTCTGAGTCTTGGGCAAAAGATTTTAACAGATACTTCACCAAAAAAGTATTCAAGTGATTAATAAGCACAATAAAATATATATCTACACAAAGATTTGCATGTAAATGTTTATAATAGCTGGACACTGGGAGCTGACTCTGCCCTGTTCTTGCTTCTAGGGCTTCCTGGAAGGAGGAGGTGGTGGGGTGCCCTGCTGTGTTTGGATGGATCCTTGATACATATGCCAAATCCATCAAGAGTCACACTAATGATGATAAGAACAACACTACTGTATAATCTGTTTATTCCTAGCAATGATGGCACTCTGTGCCATTACAGGCTCTGCCATTTTCAAGGTACATTGATGCCCACCATGTTATGCAAGCCTCACTCATGTGGGTAAAATTCTCCCCACGATTGGCCTATCCTGGCCACCTAGTAAGCTCCTCATCTCCCCAGGCACCTAGCATTCTCCTCACAACCTAACAAAATGCTAGATGGCAATGGCCTGAGCTAAATAGTCTGCTCTGACAGGGTGCATCTTGGCTGGTTAAGACAGAGGACTCTTACTCTCTTGATCGCTGTCTGTTTGAGACTGAAAGATGTATCACCCTGACCTTTCTTTTAAAAAAAAGAGAGAAATAAGAGCATTTACTATGACTGAGCTCCATTGCTGGGACTTTAAAAAATCAGAGCAAAACCACAGTAGCCAAGGAGGAGGGAGAAATGTGGTTTACTGAGCTTTGATGAAAAGAAGGAATTTCTCTCATGGGACAACTTGCTTGGAAATAGAAACTGCTAAAGTTTAGACATGTGATTCTCATTATCCTTTCAGACAGGAGGCAGATATAATTGGATCCATTTCTATTTTAATTATAATTCTTTGGCTTTAAAGAAATTGCCAGTGGAAATCTGCAAGTCACCAAAAATGCTGCCATTTCAAATTCCCTGGATTCTAATGTGGTGGACTTGCTTCAGCAGAGCTGAGGCCACCCGCCATGATTGATGGTGGTGATTGCTACAGACCTAAAGTTTTCCCCAAACAGAAATGAACTGACCCCTTTCCTCTCTCTCTTTCTTCCTCCCTTTCTCCCTCCTTTGTTCTATTTTTCCTTTTGAAGTAAAGAGAGAGATCTATTCAATTAGGACAACCCTCCAACTACAAAAAAAAAATAGGAGAGGGCAGGAAGCCTTCTGTAATAAATGACAGCAGAGTGCCAGTGCACAGGGATTCCTTTTGTTCTCTAGCTGGCCAGAGGGATTCTCCAACCTCTCTAGAGTCCCAGATTCAGGAATAGTCCTGAAGAGTGCTTGAAACTGCAGGACAAATTCCTTATAAAGCCAAACAGCACAATCCACACTGCAAAACCCCTGGAGTTAAGCCTCATTTGAGCTTTTCACACTCACTTTCTTTCCATCAGTCTCTATGTCAAACATGTTCTTGGCAGAGTTGGAGAGGAACACTGGTGAGATCAATTCTGAGGACAGGTGCTGAGGACAATGCTGAGGGGCCCATAAGCCTCCAAGGGGGTGGGGAACAAGTTCCAGAGAGAGCAACCTGGCAGGTGCCTGGGGTCCCTATGCCAGTACCCTGACTTTGGTCCCCATGGATGGTTGGTAGCTCATTGAATATTACCTGTACAAGACAAAGGCAGGACTTGTTTATCTTCTGAAGCTGAGCAAATAAATATAAGAAGCACAATCCATATTGTAGCCACAATTTTGTTTTAAATTAAAATTCACATAAACCAATTATGAGTATCCCCAAAGTTTTGCTTACTCTAATTTGCCCTGAATTCAAATGTCTTACTCAAATTCACTACAATTCAGCCCAATCTTTTCATCTGAATAAATGAGCTTGTATATGTACACACATACACACATACTTGTACACTGTTCAGCATAGAGTTGTTACATCACTTCTTTCCCCAAAGACTCCCACCAGCATCACTATATTCCATAGACACCACAAGCACATTATCTCTCTCTGGAAACCCAGTTGTGCCTGTGATCCTCCTGTACCGAGCCAAACAACCCTGTGAATGGACTTGAATAGAAGCCTTGGAGAGGGATACAAAGAAAGGCAGACATCTCCATTACAACTAGATAGAACCCAGATGTACCTGAAACCCAAAGTGGGCGTTACTCCATGCCTACCTCCCATTGGCCTTGTCACAGGGAATTTAATACTTCATAATAAGTTCTGTAAGAGCAAACTGATAAAAGATTTCGAGTTTTCTATGATTCTGTGGCTGGATGCTTCCTTCAGCTGCAGAATTACTATTCATGGAGGTCAGTGGCTAGCCCTACAGATCCTGTGGAAGGAATTACAGCCCAAAATAAGAGTAAGGTTTAATTACATGTAGTCATCACCATTCTCTAAAATGAGATCTGGTATCCTGACTTCATTATGGATATTTGGAAAAGTAAAAAAAAGCACTCTATGAGACAGAATCTAGAGACAGCCCAGAACCAGACAAAGATCATACTTGTCAACAGCAACTGTTCATGTGAGGAGATCATGGAAAGATGGTTTTGAAAGTGCTGAAGAAAAAGAGCTTTGAACTAGAATTTTATATCTAGTTATATTACTATAAATGTGAGGATAAAATAGGGATATCATTAGGCACACAGAATATAACAGTTTTACTAGACAATAAAAACCCTTTTTGAGAGTAATTCTGGATGGAGAAT